CGGCGGTCAGGGCCCGGCGGCGGCCGAGGCGGAGCCCGGGAAGGAGGAGCCGCCGTACCAGGAGAAAGCGAACCTGTACCCGCCGAGCAACACGCCGGGCGAGGGGCTGAGCCACGGCGGCGGCCTGCGGCCCAACGGGCAGACGAAGCCGCTGCCGGCGCTGAAGCTGGCGTTGGAGTACATCGTGCCGTGCATGAACAAGCACGGCATCTGCGTGGTGGACGACTTCCTGGGCAAGGAGACCGGGCAGCAGATCGGCGACGAGGTGCGCGCCCTGCACGATACTGGCAAGTTCACGGACGGGCAGCTGGTCAGCCAGAAGAGCGACTCGTCTAAGGACATCCGAGGCGATAAGATCACCTGGATCGAGGGCAAGGAGCCCGGCTGCGAAACCATTGGGCTGCTCATGAGCAGCATGGACGACCTGATCCGCCACTGTAACGGGAAGCTGGGCAACTACAAAATCAATGGCCGGACGAAAGTAAGTGTGTGCTAAGGGTTTGCGCTGGACATCCCTTGTTCGGCGGGCAGCCCCCTGCCCGCGACATGAGCCGCTTGGGGTGAGGACATGGTTTTTCTTTATAAAAGTGATTTCCTTCTTGTGTAGCACCCCCATAAAGAAAACGGGTATAATCCGTAGATAAAGTGGTGTTTATCCAGCTAGTCCCTTTTTCTGTGTCCACTGTTTTTCTTCTACTGCCCATCTACAAACGTCTTCGTCTAATTGCATGGTTTTCTAGGTAATTTAGTCTCGCCCTTTAACTTTGCTATTTTCTCCCTTTCGTTGCACTTAGTCAATTCGAACCTCACTGGAGTTCTAGCCGCCCAATGGGGGGTATTAGAGTACTACCCAAGCAAGTGCTGGTTCTGCATCTGCCTTGTGTTTGCACACACTCTAAATACTCTGGAGTTGGAACCCCTCAGCAGATTCTGATTTACAGAGTGGAATGCTGTGTTTAGTTAGGAATCTGCCAGCTGACCACAAAAAGGTAAATTGAAAATAAGCGTTTAGTCAGAAACTCCTCATACTCAGGAAGAGCTTGGCTGCTCCCCTCCCCCTCTTATAGCTCTTATCCCTCTCCCTGTCCCTGCTGTTTTGAAACCCACTACAAAACGGGGAAAGAAGTATTTCCGTTTTCAGACCTCTCAGTGTAGGTAGGTTACATTTTTAGCATAGATTTCCTTTATTTGCTTTGTTAATATAATTCCTCTTGAAAAAAGACTGTTTTGCAGCTTCCTGGGGAAAAAAACCCACATGGAATTGGAACAGGAGGGAGAGCTCATTCTAATGTCTCAGTTTGGTGAAATCTCTTTGTTTTTGCTTTACTGTTGTAGTTTTCCCTAGTAGATTCTTCGGTTCCTACCTAGTGTAATCCCTCTTCCCTCCTCAGTATGGTAAACAGTAGACTCTTTCCTCCTTACCACTCTCTTACAGTTCTTTTTCATTTTGCTTTCCAGATCTTAATCTTTTCTTTGTATCCAGCTCCACCCGGGCCACCCTGCTCCACCTTCCACCATCATCAATCTCTGATTTTGAGTTTTGAGAGCTTGTCTTAGGAGATCATCACACCTGCATGTTTGTGTATACACGTTGACTCTTCCTGGTAGTTCTTTTGTGTGTCTCAGACCATCTATTTTAACAGTCATTATGTATGACTCTCAGGCTGCCCGAAAGGCTGAGCATAGGCAATGAGGAGAGTTCTAAACATGACAGTTTTGTGGGGGAAAGCATAAGGTGAAGTCTGATTTATGTATTGCTGCTTCATTGCTGGATGAAGGCATGTCTTAATATCATGTCGTCTCAAAAAAATGAACTGTTGGTTAATATAAGCTGGAAGAAAAAAAGGGGGCCTGATTAAATCTCAACCTCGGTATTTAATGAGATTTTCATTTATATTTTTTAAAAACACTTTGTCATGGATCAAATCTGAGTATAGTCATGAACTCTAGAGGAGAAAAGGAGACAGCTTGAGGGAATATTAAAATAGCCCTATGAAAACAGCCCAAAGCATGTAGTTGGGGCATAAGCTTAAGGTAAAGTCATGAAGAAGATAACATCCTAAATCTTCCTTGATCTGCTTTCCTTAGTTAATTTAGCTTTCCAAGTTAAGCTAAATCGTCTTCTCTCCTATCTTCCTGTTTTCATCTGTTCTTCTCAGGGAAGGGACAGCAGCCAGCCTAGCTCTTAGAGCAGTTGCTTCTCATGGGGAGGCAGTTAGAAAATAGCCACCTCCTTCCTCAGGAGTCCCAGTGACTGAAGGGAACAGTAGTTGAGGTTTTAATTGACTTGACGACACATATCATCATGTGATGGGACTAGCTGAAGGGAAGGATGGATTTTAATCTCTGTAGATTTGATCTTGTGCTTACATTAATTTTAGGGACATTAATTTCAGGGCCTATGAATGATCTTAGGGAATCTCTTGCATTGTACTTCTTGGCTGAGAGAGTTTTTGGTAATCATGTTTGATCACGTAGTTTAAGTAGTCCCAAAAAACCAAAGATGCTTGCTTTGAAGGAATGGGAAGGCAGTCAAATTACCAGCCACCATATATTGAGCAACCACAGTGTACTAGGCACCAGATTAGGCTCAATACAGACATAATCACAATAATCTTAATCATATGAAGTAGTTAGTATTATTCCTAATTTACATTTGAGGATATTTCAGCTCAGACTTGGCCAAGGCCTACCGCTTATGATAACCTAGCTGGGATTCAATCTTAGGTCATTCAGATATCGAGCTCCATACTTTTTCTACTACGCTGCATATAGGTAGGATATTAGAAGAGAAGATGTAGATTACTTAACATACTACTGGGACTAAAATCTGATATACATATTTTGTTCATAGTGAATAGCATTAGCCTTGTATGTGAATAATTGTACTTTATGGTTGGGCTATATAAACTTTTTATTAGGTGACTATATAATGCTTATTTCAGATGGTTGCTGAAAAGCCACTTCATCATTATCCACCTGAATTATGCTCCTTTCAGTATAACTCTTAAGAGAGGCAGAATATGGGTATGTGACTGCAGAGAGGGTCTTCAATTAAGAATTTTATTATCCTTTACAACATTATAGTGATTTAAAAAGTTGCTTGCCTCAAATGTGTAGTATTTGTCTCAGATTTTCACAGCAACTCTGTAAAATAGTAGATTGTTGGTATATTATCCCTGTTTATAGATTAGAGTGGTGAGCCTCAGGAAAGTTAGTTCACTTGTTGGAAATCATGCAGCATACCAGGTCTTAAAGTTAGATTTTCTGATCAAGATTCTGATGTTCTTTTTCATTTACATTATTCTGTGGGTCTTGGTGTATGTCAGTGCCTGATAATCAGATGATGGATAATTGGCTGTGGCTCATTCAGTGTAGGCTTTGATTTCCCCCAGGTTTCTACTTCAGACATGCTTATCTGGCCACAGTTTATCCAACTGCTTTAAAAGAGGAACTACAGGGAAGGTTGTAATACAGGAGAAAAACAGGAACATGATTGTAGCCACTGATGTAACTGAGCTCCAGTTTCCACTTTCTCTGGTCCCTCTTTTGGGATTTTCCCCGCGTTTGCCCTTAAACTGCCCTTTGATCCTTTATTCTTCCTCACACCCTTTCTTCCATCAAGAAGACTTGCAGTGATCTCCAGTAGGAAGGAATCATGATCTGTTGATTTGTGAAGAGTAGTGTTGTGTGGGCTATGATAGATCATAGGTGCCTTTACTGGGGGGTAGAGGAAGAAGAGGAATGCAGAGGAGTAAGGATCACTGGAAAAGGTGGAACTGTTCAGCCGGAGTTTCTTAGCCACTCGGAAGGAAAAAATTTGCCTGTTAAAATAAAAATGCTAGAATCATATACATATTTTTGCAATTTTATCCAAAACTTACTCTGTTCAGTTAAAATGTACGTAAAGAAAAGGAGTGATAAAATAGGTTGAGACCAGTAAGCAGCAGATTATATTCCTAAGATTTTTCCCTAGTACTGCAGTTAATTAGTCAGCTCTGGCTGATTATGGCTTTTAGAGCAAAGAATAGGATGAGGAAAATCCTGTTGTTGTATTATCACTACCATAGATATGTGGTGACAGTCCTGTTAGATGTTACAAACAGAACCAAACAAAGCTTCCTTCTCGATCCACTTCTGCCACTTTCTCTATACTCTTGGCATCTAGGGCGTACAAATTGAGGCAGCTTGTTTAGTGTTTTAATAGCTATATCAGAATTCAAGATCAAAGGTCAGGTATTCTGTATGCAGAAAGGCTGACAATATTGCAACTGCAGTAATAACTGTTTTGCATAGTGCTTTAAAATTTAAAAGAGATAAATGTGGACTTTTTTTTTTTTTGGTGAGGAAGATCAGCCCTGAGCTAACATCTATGCTAATCCTCCTCTTTTTGCTGAGGAAGACTGGCTCTGAGCTAACATCTATTGCCAATCCTCCTCCTTCCCCCCCACCCCCAAAGCCCCAGTAGATAGTTGTACATCATAGTTGCACATCCTTCTAGTTGCCGTATGTGGGACGCGGCCTCAGCATGGCCGGAGAAGCGGTGCGTCGGTGCACGCCCTTAACGGCTAAGACACGGGGCCACCCCCTGAAAGAGTAGTCTTAATAGGTTGTAACTAAATCAAGTTCAACTTTGTAGGAAAACGTTTTGTATAGTGAATTAGTTTACGTGTAGTTTACATATAAGATAACTCTTCTAATTCTAAAGGAATTTTACTCTAAGTTACAAGAGGTTTTTTTTGCATGTTTATAACTCTTAACTTATTTACTACTGAATAAGCCACAAAAATACCCTGCAAAACCTTAGTCACACAGGAGGAGGGCATCTAAACTTAGAAGGATAGTAGTGGACTTTGTGCTGCTGTTAGGTCTGGGTTGGATTTTGGATCTGCCACTGTTTCTGTGTCCTTGAGCCAGTTGCTTAATCTTTCTGAGCCTCAGTTACTCTGTAAAATGATGTGAAAGGATACCTGCCTTGTCTGCCTTTCAGGCTCGCTGTGAGGAGTACATATAATTATGTATGTAAAAGCGCTTTTTAAATTGTAAAGCCTGTGCAAAACTGTAGTTAACTATTATCCTTCTCATTTTAAAAATTTTTTATTTTCTGATTCTTTCTTTAAGAGTTCTGTGCTTTTGCTGTCTTTCCCCCTCTTGTAAGCTGGAGGAAAAAAGACATAGAGTGATCACCCATTTTCGACCTAACCACGCACCCCGCTCCCTCCCACACACATTTTTTTTTAAACAGAGGAAATAAGTCCCAGAGAGGTTAAGTGACTTGCTCAAGGTCATAGAGCTGGTTAGTGACAAAACTGACTGATGCTTGATTCAGTTCATTCTTATATCTGCAACTTTATGCTGCCTCTCGTAAAAATTACGTGCTCCTGCTTAACTAATTTTAGTACATTTTATGCCATTTTTGAGAGTTGCTTGAACATTTATGACTTCCTTTTCCTTCTCCCTTTTGCTCCTGTCATTCTACAC